CAGTCTTTCCAAATGGGCTCCGGGGATGGAAGTCAGATCTGATCACCAACTAAGCCATCTCCCGAAGCCCCGCTTGTGTATTTTCTGAGTCCTCCTTTATGCCCTCATCATTTGGGTCCTCTGTTTACTTCTACATAATTGTGTTGTTGGTTCTATTATGAGCAGAATCATTTTTCTCATGTTTTTAAGCTACTTTGTAGACAATGGGAAAAGCTACCCTTCACTGGATTAAAAACTACCTGGATTTTGGACTCACTACCATGTTCCCATCAAGTATGACCTCTGACTTACCCAACACAGTTCCTCCTCCACCATCTGTTCCTCTCCTTACTGAGTGGCAGCTCTAACTGGCCAGCCTCCCAGTCACTCTATCACATTGTGGATTCTTTGCTCTGCTCTCAGTAGTATTTGCCTCTCTCTCATCTCTGCCCAGACTATTGTTACTAGAATCCTCACAGGTCTCCTGCTTTTACTCCTGCCCCCAGCTCACTTCCCCCTCTTAACAGAGCAATCTTGCTGATTATCTGGAGCAGCCTTATCTTGGCTTGCACCCCCAAGTCCGCCTTATGAATCCTTCCCTCTTTCTCACTTCACTTCTGTAACTCTGCCTTTATTTCTGTCCACTGTGCTCAAGTTTTTCTTGCCTCCTAGTTTTTTTTTTTGTTTGTTTTGTTTTTTTTTGCATAGGCCGTTCTCTTGGTATGTACTGACATTTTTGGTTGGGAGAAAGAGAGTAGGAGAGAAGAGAGACCTGGAGGTGAGAGAGTACAATATTATATACAAGCTAGCATACTTCAAAATTCTTTTAGATTCATTTAGTTTATTTTAGGTGTGTGAATGCTTTGCTGCCATGTATGTCTGTGTACCATATGCATGCCTGGTGCCCAACGGATGTCAGAAGAGAACATTGGATTGCCGGAACTGGAGCTATGGTTGTGCTGAGAATTTAATGTGGCAAGAGCAAGGAAATGCCCTTAACTGCTGAGCCATCTTTCCAGTCCCAAGGATGCTTTTTTTTAAAAAAACAAAAACAAAAACAAAACAAAACAAATCAAATTTTGATAAGAATAATTGGAAAGCTTTCCATTTTTACTCAGTTCTGTCAGTTTAGGTAAAAATGATTGATTTTATTCAGTTCTGTCAGTTTGAGTAAAAATGATTGATTTTTTTTTAAATGCTAAGTGTATTGTGACTCTCTGAGGAGAGTGTAGGTGGAAAGCTGTGAGCTGTCTGTAGAGCTCCGCCAACACACGGTCAGATACCAGAGCAGATGCTGGTCACTCCCTCCGCATCCAGTTCTAGCAACAACAACAACAAAAAGACAGAGATTGGGCTGCCAGGTACCCAGTTCTGGTCGGTTCCATTCTCACCCCACTCTGTGTCAGCGGTTAGCAGCTGTGGCCTGTGGGTCATACATGACACACCCCATCTTGTGAATTTTCACTTCTGAGGTTATTGTTTTACGGCAGAATCTTACTATATACTTAAGAATGGCTGGGAGTCAAACTATGTACCCCAGGCTGTCCTTGAACTCGGAATCCTTCTGCCTTTGTCTCCTCAGTGGTGGCATTATGGGTATGTATCACCACATCTGGATTTTCTTTTCTTTCTTTCTTTTTTTTTTATTTTTTTATTTTAAGTGGTTGGGAAAGAACCCTTAAAAGGAATTTTGTGACCTATGAAAATTATACGAAGTACACATTGCAGTGTGTATAAATAAGATTAATTGAAACAGAACCACCACATGTGTTTGTGTCTATTATTGCTTAGTTGTTATAGGGAATTCAGGGTTCACAGACTCTACAATACTTATTTTTTACTAGTTAATATTTTAGTGAATAAACCGATGTCCTTTTATGTGTCAATGCGCACTGCTCAGATCTGTCCCTCCAGTACCCTTTCATTCCTTCTCCTACTTCCCACTATAAAATAAAAATACTCCTATCTGGCCCTTTGCAGATAAGTCTTGCTGGCCCCTTTACGAATGGTATCCCAGGAACTGTGCACTGTCCTCACCCTCTGTGGGGAGCTAGACACTGAAGAACGCATTGTTTGGGTTTGTAAGGTGGCTCAGTGGGTGAAAGTCTTGCTTCACAGTGTGAGGGCCTGCATTTGGATCTCTGGCATCCATGTGAAAAACTGAGCATGGTGGCATGATACTACAGTCCCAGCTCGGGGGAAGCAGGCGAGAGGATCCATGGTGTTTGCTGGCCAACGAGTATAGCCAAATTGGTGTGATCCAGGTTTAGTCGTGAGACATGTTGATTCAAAAAATACAGGAAAAAAAATAAGATGGACAGAAACTGAAGGAGACAGCCAGTACTTACTTTTGGCCTCTACATGTACACATGCAGATACTCATACATACACAAAAGAATTCACTGTTTAAATGCAGTGAAGGCTACTTCAGCAGAGGCACTCGAGGAGTATACAGAAGGGGCCAATAGGTAACAAGAGGTCTGGGGGATGGTGAGGGATGTGCCATTGAAGGAAATTGATGGCAGCAGTTCATTTGAGACCTGATTACCTGCCTCCTCCTTCACTGATCAGGAAGGAGGCCTGACCATGGCCAGCCCAAAGTAGAAAGAGTGTGGCCAGATCTGGGTAGAAGCAGGTCTGTCCTCTGTTATGGTGACTTTGGTGCCTCCCCTGTTTACTCCCCAGATCATTCAGACACGACAAATGGATTGTGGCATTTTCTTCCATGGACTTCCTCACAGGCCCAAACCAGGGCTTCAGGCTGCCACTTACTGTCAAGTCATCTGAGTGAGCCTCAGAATACAGACAACCCTCTGTCACGGGGCAGAGGAGCCCCTTAGCACAATTTGTGGCTTCCAGCACTCAGTGCTGGGCATGGATTTTATTAGAAGGAAACTGCTCACGTTTGTAAACAAAGCATGTGGACTGCTCAGAGCCTGCTGCCACAGCTTATGTGAAGGATCTCTCCGAGGTATGACAAGCATGCAATTAACACCCTCTACGACATTGCCTCCCAGGGAGAGGTCTCTTTCTTCTTCAGGACCCTTTTAATGAGCACCAGTAAATTAAACCACCAAATTGACATCAGGTTTCTAATGTGGCTGTCTACTTCCTCTCACAAGCAAGGTAGCTGGGTAGAACTGTGTGCAGAAATGCTCTCCAGTAAACAAGCTAACAGCCCCACTCTTCACTTGTGGTGCCTAGACCTCTATCTCATGGTTGTGGTGGGTGGCAGGTGTGTACCACCATACCTAGCCTGCAGCTTGAACAGTCAGTCAAAAATATCAGGTTAAAAGAGTTCTAGTGAAGCTCAAGAGGTGACTCACACCTTTAATCCAAGCACTTGGGGCAGAGGTAGCCAGATATCTGTGAGTTGAATGGGTTCAATTAGCCCACAGGGGCTTATCTGCCCCCACCCCTGCCGAGCTAATGCTCCATCCACACCCATGGTGCTCCACACATGGACTTTTGGCCTCTTCAGCCTGTTTTCCATCTGGGCATCAGAGGCACATCTTACTGCCTCTCCCATCACTGCATGGTGTCCCATAGGCCTTTAAAACTTGCCACACTCGCTTGGGCAGAAGAGTCAGAGAAAGTGACCCGTGTCCTAAGTATCCATGTAGAGGATGAGGAGTTAATTTGTTAGTAAAGTAACAGAATGATGAAGATTTTTAAAAGAAACAGTTATGTGAACACACAGAGGCACAAGTGAGCCACTTTACTCCTCGTGAAAACTGCCTGGGAACAGCACTCTATTTCGGTATCTTCTTTTCTGTTGCTTTTTGTTTTGTTTTTTCTAGTTCATGCGATTTTCTCACCCACCAGGAAGTGTACTCAAATCATCTCCTAAGGAGAGTCCTCTTAGAAAGAGGCTGATGAAAAAGAACAGTGGCCAAAAACTACAGACCCCGCTTGAAGGCTGAGAGCCTGCAAGTGGGAAAGGGACTGTTTCCCTTAGGCAAAGGGGCAGCTGGCAGTTGAGAACTGAGATCTGAAACTGGACTCCAGGTTGCTGGGATGGCACCAATAGAAGGAATATGCTTCATCTAACCTCCGGTGCCCATATTTGAGCTATAAATTATCTCTGGTAAGACTCATGTGGAAGCCTGGTCTCCAATCTGATGGCCCTGGAACATGGTGGGGCCTCTGAAAGGCATAGCTTAGTGGGGGCTAAGGTAGGGGTTGGTGGCAGCTTTGCATTGTGGGCATGGTCTCACAGGAGTGGGTTGGTTCTGGAAAGAATGGATTGTTGTAAACATGAAACTTGTTCCTCCTTGTTCTCTTGCATCCTTGTTCACCAGGTGACACCTCCCTTTCACATGCTTCTGACCAGGGAGGCTCTTAACACAAGAGCCTTTTAGAAGTTAAGGCTAAGCTCTTAAGCTTCCAAAACACGAGTGCAAATGAGCTGTCTGTTCTTCCTTCCTTTCTTCTTTCTTTTCTTTTTTCTTTTTAAATTTTTTTTCAAGTCTGACTATAACTGAGGGCCTCACAAATACCAGGCAAATGTTCTCCATCTGAGCTGCACTTGCAGCCATTTTTTAAAAATAAAGTACTCAGCTTCAGCTATTTTGTTATAGCAACGTGGAATAGGTGAAGACAATTTATAACTGTTGAATACTGAAAGTAGAGTTTTTTAACAGTGGTGGTATTGGTACTTTGGGTGGAATAGTTCCTGTGTCTTATGTTTGGATGTATCCATCCATCACATGTATTACCCATCCATCACATGTCAGGAACAGGCTCCTCTAAATTGTGCGGTCAAACCGTCTTTGTTAACTGTCTCACCATGGTCACAATGCATTAGATTTAGACTATGCAGACCTCTGTTCACACTCCCCTATCAGGCCCTGAAACTGTTTACCCATGTGACCTTGAATTATGCCCGTCTTCTCTGGGCCTCAGTTTCTCAGCTGTATTGGATGGGAAACACATGTGTGTTTGTTCCAGAATTTAGCTCAACATCTAGTCACCCAATACTTCCTAGCCTCCTTCCCATCTTTGCTGTCCCTCCTGCTTACCTGTTCAGGAAGATGCTGCTGACGTCATCGTGTGTGATGGGAGGCTTCTTGGAGCTGGCTGCCATGCGCAGCGGGCGCAGAAAGTTGTTGACAAGGATGTGAAGTTGCTGCACATACTCGGCTTCGGCCTCCAGCATGCTGAACACCACCTGGTTCCTCTTGCGCATGCTGTCGGCGTGGGGAGACCGGATGTAGTCCTGGATGATGGTCTTCCACTTCCGCCGGCACAGCCAGCCCCGAAGGAAGCTCTGTACCTGATAAGGAGAGTGGGAGAGGTCTACGTTAGTATCAGTTCCTCTTGTTCTTGTATGCTGCGAGCACCTCAGGGGTGGGGTCCAGAGGCTGGTCATCCCTGCTGCTGGGATTATGGGGAGAAGAGCTGAGATTCAGTGCAGTTCTGGGCTCTGCTGCTTGTATGATGCTGAGCATGTTCTTTGTGCCCTCTGAGACAGTTTTTCCGTCTATGAAATAGGGATACGGAGCATCACAGTATGGACTAGACAGCTTGTTAGAAGTGTGGGTCCTAGGGTCTGCCCCAGCCAGCTGCTTTTAACAAGCTCTCTAATTGCTTTGAAATGCAGAAAGGAAAAAAAAAAAAAAAAACAACGGGACACAAGTCTCCACAACGGGGCTAGTCTACACAACAGGAGAAGGTTCTCAAGGCTGTGCCTGGCATGGTTGCATCCTGTCTAATGACACTTCTGAGAGCCCAGAGGTTTCAATTAAAGCTTGTCTGGAGAGGGTAATTATCAACTTGAACAAAACATGGAAATCTCCTCATCTCCAGCTCTTCAGTGGATTCTGAGCCCCAGCGCCAGGCTGGAGCCTCTACCAACTCAGCGGGGAAATGAGTCGGGCACTTGCTCAGTGGCCTTGGAGTCAGCTGAGAGAAGCAGCCTCTAACAAGTGGCAGGAACTTGGGAAAGGGTCTTCACTCATGGATATGCCTGGACATACACAGATACACACACAGAAACACATACATGCACACATAAACATACACACTACACATACAACACATACACAAGAACAGAGAAACACATAAAGACACATACAGATATATACACACACATTAATATGCAGACATATGCACTCAGCCACACATCACACGCAGAGAGACATATACACAGATACATGACGTATACACATAAAGACACAGAGATGTACATAGACATGCTCATACAAACACACAGACACACACAAAGACACAAGTACAAATAGACATGCATACATGTGCTGGCTGGTTTTATAGGATCCTGACACGAGCTGGAGTTATCAGAGAGGAAATCTTCAAATGAAAAAATGCTTTCAATAAGATCAGGCTGTAGGCAAGCCTGAAGGACACTTTCTTAATTAGTGCTTGATGTGAAAGGGCCCAGCTCACCGTGGGTGTACAACCCCTGAACTAGTCGTCCTGGGTGCTTTAAGAAAGCAGGCTTAGCAACCATGAGGAGCAAGTGTCAGGCAGCATTCCTCTGCATCAGCTTCTGCCTCTGGGTTCCTTTTCTGTTTAAGTTTCTGCCTTGGCTTCCCTCAATGGATTATGATATACAAGCCAAATAAACCCTTTCCTCCCCAAGTTGCTTTGGTCATGGTGTTTCATCAAGCAATGCAAACCCTAACTAAGACAATGCAAAACGACACAAAGACACAGGTACAGAACACACAAACATAAAGACACAAGTGCACACACACACACACACACACACACACACACACACACACACACACTTGTCTTCAGCTGCGCTGGGTTCTAATCCAGGGCCACCTACCTTCTGCACTCTTGGTGCTGCTTAGCTGTGCACAAGCCTGTGACTGTACATGGAGGGACACAGAGATGGGCCAGCATACAGGGGTCTTTACTGAAGGGCGCTGGCCATGGACAGAAAGGCAGCCTGCAGTTCAGATTTGCCCTAAGGACAGGAAGGCCTTTGTGGAAAAGGGAGGGCTTCAAATCCCCAAGAAACAGACATGGGGGTGGAGGTCAAGCCAGCCCTTTTCAAATGGGGCAAGCAGAAAGAGCTGCCCTAAGTTAAGGGATGGGCTGAGATGTTCAGGGGTCCCAGCAGAGCCAGTTGTTCCTGCCTTGGTGGGACCGGGTGTCAGGTCTCCATGTTTGCCTGTGTGAACCTGAAAGCTCCTACATGTGTATATGGCTGGCTTGCCTCTCTTGCTTGGGGCTGACATTGCTATCCCTGTACAGGCCCAGGCTGTTAGACCACACCCTGCTGCTCCAAGAGGCCACATGTTCATGCTGCTGAGGGCATGGGCTCTGGAAGGGGTGCGAGGGTTTGCATGTCTCTCTGCAGATATTTAGCTGTGTCAGCTTTGACAAGTTACCTGGCCTCTCTGTGTCTCAGCTTCCCCAGATATGAGCTGGAGATGATGATCAAAGCTCAGAGGCTTTTCCTGAGGACCCACTTAATCTGCATCAAGCTCTTAGAATAGCATCTGGCACGTAGAACATGGCTAATGAATGTGCTGCAATTTCTATTTTTGAGAAACCAGATATCCAGATTTCTGCGTGAAGTGTTTAGCTCTTAAAGCACTAGCAACAGATATAAGTGGGAAAATATACACAGGCTGAAAGCCATGGGAGGGCTGGACTTGGCCTGTGGGATTATATTTGCAGTTTCTGGACTGTGTGGAACGGGGTTCTTCCTGCAAATCAGGCAGAGAAGATCCTCTGGTTTCATTTGCTGACCTTAGGGTGAGCCATCTTCCTTGTCTTGAGTTTGGCAAGGTGAAAAGACAGCCAGGTTTCTTCCCTTGGTATTGTCATTACCACGGCTATTGGACAGGTCCCTGATGCTTTGTGAAATATCTTTCTCTCTTAGGGTCTTATGAAAGGCGGCTTCCTGCTGAGACCTGCTGAAGAGTGGGTAGTTGTGAGGGGTGTGTTGTGGTGTGTGTGTGTGTGTGTGTGTGTGTGTGTGTGTGTGTGACAGTGGAAATGATGATGGAAAGGTGCCCAAGGGGGCTTGGTGAGCCTGCATAGCACTTGGAGGAAAACTCTTAAAGGAGATTTCCTTAGACCTTGGTGTTGACCCCATCTCCTCCTTCCTCTCCCTTGTCTCTATAAAGTGGGGCTAGATCACTCTCATTCCCAGAGACAACCAGAAAGTACGGGGTGACAGGTGTTAAAAGAGGCAGGTTGCTGCTGGTTCTGTCGCTGGATCTGGGGGTGACTGGGTGAGTGGCATGCCATAAGCATGTGTGGGATAGCAGAGGGGCACTGCCAGCCAGGGATGGTACAGACCTTCTTAATTTTCTTGATGTCACTGTCCTCATCATTGGGGGTGACAGTCTGGGTGGACTGGATGCGTTCATTGTCCTTGAGCAGGGATGCAATCTGCAACAGAATCATAGGTCAGTAGTGGGCAGGAGACACTGACCAGCAGGTCCCCTGCTGAAAGATAGGGCAGCGTGGTGTGCTGAGGCCCCTGTGCCTTGCCTTATATCAGGGAGCCACACGGTGTCAGATGCCTATGTGGTAGTGCATGCTGCAGCAGAACAAGTTTACCTTGGAGTGTGGGCAAGGCCCTTCTATGTATGAGGACTGTCTGTAACCCAATCCGCCATTCTCTCCCTGGTTCTGCAAACCACAGGTCCCCTTTAATTAACTGTGGTAAGATGTATAAAAAGGTAAAAGTTACCGTGTGAATCTTTTGTTTTCCGTACGCAGTGTTGTGTATACCTGTGGTGTGTGCACTTGTATGTGGGAGAATGTGCATTTGCATGTTCCTGCATATGGAGGCCTGAGGTCTTTCCTTAATCGCTCTTTACCTTTAATTGTTGAGATAAGCTCTCATTGAACCTGAAGCTCATCAGTTCAGCTAGGATGGGTTGCCAGTGAGCTTCAAGGATCTACCCATCTTCACTCTTTCACCCAAGGCTGGGATTACAAGCATGTACCACCATGCCTAACTTGGGTCTTGGGGATCTGAACTCAGGTCCTTGTTCTTGCACGGTGAGGACTTTCCTGACTGAGCCAACTCTTTAGCACCCATCCACCATTTTTTGTTTGTTTGTTTGTTTGTTTTTGTTTTTCAAGACAGGGTTTCTCTGTGTAGCTTCAGCTGTCCTGGACTTGCTTTGCAGACCTGGCCTTGAACTCACAGAAAAATGCTTGCCTTTGCCTCCCTGTGTGCTGGGATTACAGGCATGTGCCACCATGCCTGGCTTCACCAACCATTTTTAAAACAAAGGTTTGTTTATGTGTGTGTGTGTGTGTGTGTGTGTGTGTTTGTGGAGGCCAAAATACAACTTTCAGGAGTCAGTTTTCTCCTTCTACTATGTGAGTGAACTCACATCATCAGGCTTGGAGGCAAATGCCTTTATCTTCTGAGCCATCTCACTGCCCTCCCCAGTGTGTCATTGTTCAGAGGCATCCAGCCGATTTGTAATGTGCAGCCAACATCTCCATCCATCTCTGTGATATTCAGGTGGAAACTCCGTGCCCATTATGCAGTGAATACTTCCTCCTGTGGCTGCTGACAGCCACCTCTGACTTCTGACAGCCACCTCTCGCTGCTGACAGCCACCTCTGGCTGCTGACAGCCACTGTGCTCCTTTTCACATCTGTGAATCTTACGCTAGCAAGCTCATGTGGAGTAACTTGGTACTTTGCTTGGCACTGTGCTCTGGTTGTTCATCTGTTATGTATGTAGCCTGTGTCAGAATTTTCTTCACACAAGTTATCATTATCTTTTGTTCCTGCTGTCCCTCCAGTGCCCTCCCCCCTTCAGGCTGTTTCTTTTCATCTCCCAGATAGTCCTCCCCCTACTCTGCTTTTTTATTAACTGTATCAATCACCTTCTTCCCCTCTCGTGACCCCCTTTTTAGTTTCATGGCTGATATGACACACATATAGAAACACACATGTATATAGTCTTAAGTCTGGTTTCCACATATGAGAAAACATGCAGTATTTGCCCAGTTCTGTCTTATTTCATTTAGTGTAGAGATCCCCAGTTCCATTCATTTTCTTGCAAACGTCATTACTTTATTTTTCTTTATGGCTGGATAAAGTTTCACATTGTGTTAGGTACTGCATTTTCTTTATGCATCCTTCTATCTGCTGGCTCCACCTTCCAGCTATAGTGAACACAGCAGTGAAAGTGTATGTACAAGTATCTCCGTGGCAGGCAACGTTCACCTGTTGAACTGTCCTTTATCTTTCTGACAAAGGCACATGGGGGACAAATCAGATCAGAGCTGGTGGCTCTGCTGGCTGGCCACTCTCCTCTCTGGGTTACCCTGGAGGACTTCTTGGGATCAAAGTTGTCTTTGGAGCTTAAATACTTGTCAGGAAAGCTAATGTAGCCCCTGATGTGACCTAAAAGAACTTCCACTTGTCTTATTTGGGGATCACAGAGAATCAAGACCAAGCTCTGGTGCCCAGGAGCAGGATACTCTAAGTCTGTAGAGTATCTAAGTCTTTTTTCACATAGTAAAAAAGAAAGAACTTTCTCATGAAGAAAAGCCACTCATTCCCTCTCCCTGCTTTGGTGAGAGTTCCATGGAGAGTGGTCTCATTCATCACAGAGCCTGGTGCCTAGCACAGGACCCAGCAGGCAACACACCCTACAAAAATAAATGCATTAAAAACTGATCAGAGCAACAGCGGCTGCAAAAGCCCCAAATCACAGAAAGCTGCAGCAGTCACTGAGCCTGGCACATCTGAAGGCAGACGCTCAGGGGATTCTGCAGACACGGCTGCCGGCAGGCTGCTCCCTCCTCAGAACACGAGGCTGTGTGCCCTCAAGGCCACTTGCTGAACCTCAGGATGAATGGCTCTCAAAAATGAACCATTGACGCCTTTGAAAGTGGAGTGAGCAGTTGCAAGCTCTCCACTCTTAGGCTGCTAAAATTACCCTGGCTGGCCTTCGCTTGGAGAGTGTCTGAAAACATCTGACTGGAATGTTCAGTGGAGAGAGACCTGCTTGCCCGTGTTTTCCTTTTTCTGGCTCTCTGTACTACTTCGATATATTTTCTCCTCAACCCTTAAGCTTAGAACATTTACATGCAGAAATAAAAGACTAATTCTTTGGCCAGCAGTCTAAAAGGCTGGAGTGTATACAACACACACACACACACACACACACACACACACACACACACACACACACACGAGGTCTGGGTGAGCCCAGAGGCTTCTATGGCTGGTCAATACCTTCCTCCTGGATTCAAGGTCTTAACTTCACACCAGCCTGCCTTCTGCCAGTTTTGGTATTTGCACAAAGGGTGGTAGCGATGGGCTCTGCCCTCTGCACCTATGCCTTCACTGACCCAATGAAAGCTTTTAAGGCCAACTACAACCTGAGTTTATTGTGCCTTCTGGCTTTCAAACACAGTACCAGGACCAGGGCTCACACAGCCCCACCATGGCCCTGTTGACACTCAGACACAGCAGACTAGAAGAGCAGACATCTCCTCAGTCCTAGTGCCATCCAGAGCCTGTGATCACCACTCACTGTGCCCTCACAAGCTTCCATGCCAGGCAAGAGGCTCTGAGTGGCAGAAGAGGCAGCTTGACCATTTACGAGGTTCTGAGCAGGCTGCTGAAATTACAGACACATGGAAAGCTGGTGTGTCTGTTGCATTGCCTTGGGCTTGAGAAAACCTTGTGCTCACACACTGGCCAGGAGCCTCATGGGAAAGTGGCTGTCCTTGGTGGGATTTGGGCAGGAAGAAAGCATGGGCATGAGAAAGGCATGCCAAAGAGGAGCAGGGATGTGCAAATGCCAGGGCGTAGGACAGTTCAGCATTCTGGGGTGCTGGGTGGTGTTAGGTGGTGACTGCATAGTTGGGACCTGGGCAAGAGGGTGAGGTCTGTGGCTGGTGAGCACAGAGCTTTCATGAGTAAATGACTGACTGCCACCCCACAGCTCTTGGCCAGAGAGTTAGTAATTGGGTAATGGAGCCACAATCCTTCCCTGTTCTCCACCCGCACCGTGTGTGTGTGTGTGTGTGTGTGTGTGTGTGTGTGTCTATGTTTGAATTCAGGAGATGTATTGGTCTGGCACAGAACTCATAACTTCTCTCTAGAGTAGGCTGGAGTCCAGAGTGAGCCAGGAGTGTTAGAAAGAGGACAGTTTTGGGCTAGCCTCTGGAAGACTGTCAGAGGCTCTGCACAGATTAGAAAGACTAACAGATGGATGGGAGCCAGTGTTCCAGTTCCAGCTTTGTCACTTCTCAGCTGTGTGTGCTTGGACTAGTGACCTGAGCTCTCTAAGCCCCGTTCCCTGTGGCTTCTACTATTGGTTTGTTTGTTTGTTTCTCTGTGTAGCCCTGGCCATCCTGGAATTCTCTCTGTAAACCTGGCTGGCCTCGAACTCAGAGATTCACTGGCGTCTGCCTCCTGAGTGCTGTGATTGAAGGCATGTAACACTACCATGTGGCTTATCCTATTGGGATGAGAATGGGGGCTGATGAAGGAGGTATGTCTGAAGCCTCATAGTAGGTTAGAGATGGGTCAAAAGTGGACCTCCAGTTAAACGTGAAGTTTCAAGTTAAGTTATTACTAGAGGAAAGCTTTGCTGTTGCTGGACAAGATGGACAAGATAGCTCTCTGAACTTTCTAGACAGGGCTGGGAGACTGGGCTACAGCTACAGGTATGGGAAGGGGTTCTGCAACTGGGACTTCTATTTCTTGGTTGACACCTGCAGATTCTTTATCCTTTTTTGTTAGGATTAAGTTTTGTTTGTTTGTTTGTTTTCTTTTTTGGGGGTGGAGCCTGATGGCATCTGGGAACACAGCCTGGGGATTGAAGGCCTGGATCGCACAAATCCCCACCTCTCACTCTGCTCTGCTTCCTTAGGTGGGTTCTTGGCTGTCTGCTCTCCACATCCTGGCATCCAGGATGCCACATCCTGAGAAGGATGCCTGAGAGTCTCTGCTTCCAGGAGTCAACGGCATCTCCCAGCATGGTACCTTAATTCAGGTTCCCACTCGGGAGTGGCCCAGGGCTTGGTAAACAGTGAGTAGCTAGGCTCCAGGAGGTGTTTGCAGGAGCACTGCCCAATGAGGCAGCACACAAGGAAGGCTTGATTCCATGTTATCTGGGGCACACACTAAAAGCCTGTGGTTTGCCACTCGACACTTGTGGCAAGTGCAGTGCAGGCACAGAGAGAGAGAGAGCATCCACAGTAATTACTACAGGTGATATGGCACCTGCAGAGCCTGAGGCTGACAATGGTGACCGTTCATGTGCTTTTGCACCATCTAATAACTTGTCATAAGCAGTCTCAGCCAGCCCTGTCACCTGTGCAGGTCATAGCTAAGACCCTGCATTGTATGAAACAACCCTGGAACAAAGAAGTGGGGGGGGGGCACATCCCAGGTGGCACTTGGTAAACCCAGAGGTGGCATCCAAACCTGGTCTGAGTGCAGGACTGTCCCTCTCTGCTCCCACCACCGCATCCTAAGCTTTAGGCCAGGGACGGAGCCTTGCCCATTTCGAGCCCCTGTCTGGTAGGAAGTTGGTCTGGGGACCCGGTCTTGCAGTCACCTCCGCCTTCAGTCGTTCGATCTCGATCTCGCCGTCCTCAATCTGCTGTCGCAGCTGCTTGGCCACCGTCTTCTCTGTCTCTACTATCTGCAGCAGGTGCAGGTACTTCTGCATGAGCACCTCGTGTTCCGTGGCCAGTGTCCTGTAGCTGTGGACAGAGGTGCATGGCAGGTGAGATGCCTCGCCTGTCTGTGGGTCCTATACAATCCATTCACACTGACTTTTGGTTGCTTTATTAGCCCCACTTTTTTTGTGTCTCTGTCTCTGTCTCTCTAACACACACACACACACACACACACACACACACACACACACACACACACTCCTAGGACTTTGTCTAGGTAGAGCTGCGTTTTGAAACATATCCCCACCACCCTTCCCTAACTTCACCCTCCTTCTTGGCTACTTCTGGAATTCAGCTGAACTATCACCTCCAGGAAGCGTTGGTGGACTCCAGGGATCTTTTTTTCAGCACGTGAGCTCCTAGCACCATGGTGATGGAGGGTGGATAGATCGTGCACCTAGAAAGTACTTAGTGGACACTTGCTGCATGCAAGGGTGACTACAGATCCATGCATCAGGACTTGTGGGATATACAGAGGACAAGTAGGCACACACATCTCTCTATTTGGGTGATGTGTAAAAACACTGCACAGTACACAGAAGTGTCAAATTGGTGAGTCACAGGCTTTTAGTGTATGCCTCTGAGGAGGGGGCCAGCAACAGGGATTATGAACAGGGAAGGCTTCCGGGAGGTCCTAGGTGGCATAACCCCAAGCGGGAGCTCTCTGACTCCAAGCCTAATACCTTAGGTACATACCCACTTTAGGACAGCCCTGAGTAGGAGGCTTGTGTTGCAGCAGTTGATGAAGAGGTGAGGAGGCTAGGTGGTACAAGGCCAGACCGAGTCCCAAAGGATAGGCCAAGGTGGGAGAAGGTGTCTTGGAAGGTAAATACATTAACATGTATCACATAGATGGACCGAGTGGCAGAGCAGGAGACAAGGAGTGCCTTGCCTAAGGTCACCACACATCTGAGAGAGACCTCAGTTTCCTAAGTTCTAAGTCAGGACCTCTTCATGATGCTCCATGGTATGAAGAAAGCCACTAGAGAGCATCATAGGTGGGTAAGAATCTGATCCCACGAAGAGACCCAGCCTTGGTGGGCAGGGATTCTTGGAGAAATGGGACTCCACCATTCCAGGGAGAGGTGTCTATCCAGATGGGATCAAGGCTAGGAAAAGGGCAGGGCCTTAGGAGGGAAAGGTTAAAAATTCTGAAGGACAATGAGGTCTGGGTCTCATTATTGACCCATATTCACCATTATTGACTCATATTCATCACTGTTCCTCTAATTGTTCCCCTTGCTCACCATCACCTCAGAGCCAACTCTTTGCCTTTCCTTTCTCACACTTGCTCATTCCTCTGCACTCTTCTCCTCACCCAGAAAGGTCCCATCTTTTATCACTCTGTGTTATAAGGGGGTCCCCTTCCCATCCTTTGACTGGCAGGGCCCAAAATATCCTATATGCCCATTAAACTCCTCTGCGTGGTCTATGTCTTTTAGAGGACACTGTCTCTGTTCCATTACATATTCATCCCAGTATCCAGAAAAGGCTCAAGTCCCTACTCCTTTAGAACAAACCAAGCCATCCCTCGACTTCCCTAACTCTACCCATCCTGTGACAGCTAATCCCGGCTGTCAAAGTGACTAGATTGACACAGCTAGAATATTAGGAAAGCACACACCGCATAGGTGTATTTGTGAAGGTATTTCCAGAGATGATTAATGAAGGGCCAGGAAGACTTGCTTTAACTGTGAGTGGTGCTATCCCATCAGCTGGAGGTCCAGAAGGAACCAAAGGGGAGGGAGGAGGAAGCCTACTAGCTAGGGCATCCTTTCTGTCTGCCTTCTGGTTACCATGAAATGAGCGGTTACATCCTGCCACAAGCTATCCCACCAGGATAGCTCATCCTATCACAGTCCCCAGAAATAACAGAGCCAAGGGATGGAGGACTGAAGTTGCAGAAACCATGACCAAAATAAGCCTTTCCTCCTTGAGGTCGTCCTTTCAGCCTTCCCACTTGCTCGGCGTGCTTTCACTGAAATTGTTGCTCATCCAGTGTCTTCTAGTGCTCTCTTCACCCTGGCAGTAGAGCATTTGCTCTTAGCAGCCATAGCAACTGCATCTCACTCTGGGTTCACCCACTATCTCCTACTTGTGAGATCAACGGACACTTTTTACTCTGGAAGCTTCTTGCATGACCATGCAGCTCCTCACACAGCTGGCTAGTGTGGTCAAGCCACAGGGAGAGGTCTTTGTCTCAGTCTCAGGAGTCTGCCACTTGAGTTCACAAAGTCTCCTCTTAAGAGGCCATGATAATAATGAAAGCCCTCCAATAATGAAGGGCTGTGCCAGGGTGCTGAAGTGGACAGGGAAGCTACGGAGGGTCCTATCCTCTGATGGTGCCAGAAGATGCCTTCTTGGGAGGAGGCTGGCAGCAGCCATATCCTGGGGGTGGGAAGATAGAGCAGTAAAGGCTTGCTCCATCAAGCTCAGTATAGCTGTGGCAGGGAGGGGATCTGGGAAGAAACCCTGATCCAGCCAGAGCACTGATCTCTGTCCTTAGTGCCACCCTTTCTTCAGTTACCAGCCATGAGAGAAGCTATTCCATTTTAACACTATTACATTAAAATGGCGAGCTGGGTGCCTCTCTTGTGAAAACGAACACAGGCAGGAAGGTCTTTCCAACTTCCTAGGATACTTAATTGTCTTCGCTTGCAAGTAAAATTCAATTGAGAGCAAGGAGTCTGTTTTCACACCATCCTGCTTTCCTGCTCAGGGGTGCGAAGCACAGTTTCTTCATTAGTCTAGTCTTACTAATGGCAGACACCCCAGGGCTTCAGGCAAGAGTCTCATCTGCAGGTGATCTCCTTGCCTTGCTTGTTCTCCATTTCTTCCCTTCCCCATCCCCCTCTTTATTTTCTTCTTTTCTCTCCCATTTCTTCCTCCCTTTCCCTTTCCCTTCCTCCTCAATCTCCCTTTCCCTTCCCTACTCTTGTCCCCCTCCCTTCAACCTCTCTTTTCTCCTACCCTCCTCTTTCCCTCTCTTCTTTTCCCTTTATCCTCCTCTCTTATGATGCTTTAAATGTGAAGTCTCATGTGTCTGAAAATAAGCACAGATAAAGTTGGGGCCAAGAGCAGCAGGATGGCTGCACAGATTATTAGCGCTGTTAGAAAGAGGCCACTGCACTGGTGAGATGGCTTAGTCAGTAGAGTGCCTGCCGCACAAGCATAAGGAATTTAGTGCAATCTCTAGAACCCAGATTGAAAAACAAAGAACAAAAAACAGACCGTGATGGTGTCTGCTTGTAATCCCAGCGCTGGGGAAGCAGAGATAGGTAGAGCTAGCCTAGCCTGCTCGCTCAGAGAGCTCCTGTCCTGTGAGAGACGTGGATGGATGGACAGACAGACGGGTGGACAGACAGACACGCACATGAATTGGCCATACTCCACTCATCACTGGCTCAAGGATATTTGAAAGATATTTGCTTTGCGAAATCACAGAGAACCTATGGAAATCCTTCCCTACATATGGAAGTCCTTCCCTACATCCAGCCATTAAGTACTCATGGGCAGCTGCAGCTGTAAGCCAAGTGGAGGTGGTTGCTGCTGGAGCCAGTGGCAGATTTTGATGTTAAGTCACAGGATACTGGTTTTGGAGGTATGCAGGATATATGAGTCATGGTTTAGAGGTTTCAAAAGAAGGCCTGGGAAGCTAGGCAGTATGGGAAGGTTAGAGTCCCTGAGAGGGCAAAATTGTAAGAGTTAAAGATGAAGTTTTTGGAGCCCTCAGGAGGTTAGAGATCTCAGGAACGTAGACATCTGACAAGGAGAGTTTTAGGAAGTCAACAGGGGTTCTGAGAGGCCACACTGAGGAGCAAGCAGTTGACAGACTGCCAGAGGCATGCAAACAAGTAGAGAGGCCATGGCTTGGTAATAAAGATGGTGAGCTTCCAAGATGGCAGGCTTCTTCCTCACCATCACCCCCTGACACCTGACAGATTAAAACAAACACTTTATGGGCTCTTTCTCCCATCAGTAGGGTCCCCTGCCTGTGGACTGGCTCAAAGAGTCCAAGGCTGTATCAGGACATGCTTACACAACAGCTGTAGGCTTGTCAGCCATCCTTTTTTTTTTTTTTTCAAACTGAGCAACCCTATGTTGGGGAAGGGAGACCCTTCACAGTCTTTAAAATGCCTCAAGGAGATCCTGTGCTTTGGCTTCCCTAGTCCTTGTTCTACTTTGCAGAGAGTCTTTGCTCTGTGTGCTTTCTGTATGCACACATTTCCTGGCCTCTCATAAAAGCCTTTCTTGACCACCTGTGATATTATACATACCCTTCACCTGCAGCTCCCCACTTCCTCCTAGGAGATCTGATCGTCCATAGTTTCCACTACTCCCAGCAGTTCATTTAATGATGAATTCACCAAGGCTCAGTCACTGATTGGGGCAGAACCCATTTGAGAAATTTCCTGTGGCTTACAGTTGTGCAATTTTTAACCCTGCCTTTTAATTCTTTAACTGACCAAGGAAACAAACCCATTCCGGACCCCTAGATGGCAACAGTATGAGCTCCAGACAGAAAAGACTACAGGGGCAGGGCTTTCCAAGCCCACTGGAACTCATACCATGGCCCAGATCCTGGGTATGCTCATGACATGCCCTGGACACTCAGATGTGGAGCTACGTATTATAATGCTTGTCTGGCTGGGTGTTGGCCTCATTCCTCTTTTCTATGTTTCCATTCCTCTTTATGGAAGGGAGGTGGGGATCCCCATCACTGTACGTTAGAAGCATGTGACTTCCTTTTTTTTATGTTATAGGTGCTCAGGTGGCTGCTGCCTTGAGTCACTGAAGAGTTTGGACTTTAGACCTATGAGAAATTCTGGGACTATTAAGACTGGAGACCTTTGGGGACAGAGTAAATACATTTTATTCTGTGAGATGGTCATGGGCCTTTGCGGGCCAAGGGAAGAATATTCTACTTTAGTCTGGAATGTTCCTCCTGAGCTGATGTTTAAAGGCTTGGTGGCCAGCAGATGGGCTTTTGGGAGCAATCATGAGGGCTCTGAACCAATCAGTGACCAAGCCTTGATGAATTCATCCCTGAATGGACTGTTGGGATGCAGTAGAAACTGTGGAAGGTTAGGTCTAATTGGAGGAAGTGGGCAGCTGGGGAATGTGTTTTTGAAGGGCATATCTTGTCCTCAGCTCTTGCTTCTTTCTTTCTGGCTCTTGATGCTATGAGGGGAGCAGTTTCCCTCTGCCATGCCCTTCTGATAAGATGTTTCTATCCTAGTATAGACCAAAACTTCAGGGACTCGGGCAACTGCAGCCTGAAACCATGAATAGGTCTTTCTTCCTTTATGCTGATTATGGGTATTTGGTAACATCATTGACAGAATCCAACATCCCACTCCCTCCCCTCCTCCCTTTCTCCCACTCCCACCCAATTCCTTTCTTTCTCCTCCCTACTCTTTCTTCTTCCAATGGAGACTGACCGAGCCACACCTGGTGCGTGCACTGTCTTTATGAACTCATAGACTTTGAGGGCTAGAAGGAAACTCAGGGATCATGAAGTTGATGTATGATTTGGTTCAGGGAAGGAGAAGCAATTTGCTTACAACAACCATTGGTCACTGTCAAAGCTGGAGGTGGAATCGACCCCAGGGTTTGAGAGTGCATCTCAGCCTCCCCAACCCCTGGCCTGGCATCTAGCTCTCCATACAATGTTGGATACATAGCACACTAGCTGCCTTATCTTATAAACAACTGTATACATACACTACAGAGGCATCCCATAATACTAGACTATGATCCGTACAGCGTGAGATAACACTGTGTATTAATACACCGTAGAGCTTATTTTTGTACGTGGCATGTTTCTATTAAGTACATGTAAATAAAAACTAAATTGGGAATGTGTAAAAATACTTTGCACTCAATATGGCTGTGGCAGAGAGCCAGTTGTTGCTGCTGCAGCATATACACCTCCAAACACACACACACACACACACACACACACACACACACACACACACACA